CCATGTTGTGATGGAGGGGACAGGGAGCCCACAACTGGCAGCCGGAGGACCTGGGTCCCAGCTCCGAATGCACCTTCACTCTTTGTCCTGTAATGGGCCAACCACATGCCCTCCTGGGCTCTCAAGTTCCTCACCTGTAAAATGGGGGATATACTAAGACCTGCCTCACAGGGGTGTTATGAGGGTGAAATGAAATCATCCTGGCGGTGCTCAGCGTGACAAATGCTCACTTAATGGCACAGTAAGGGGCAGTAAGTAAGTAGCAGGCCCAACCTGTACTGTTGTACGGTTTGCGCACTCTACAAGGTGCCAGGCCGAGGTGGTGAAGGGGCCTGACATCCAGCCACAACCACCGGTGGCAGCATCCCCCGACAGGGAGCCCTGGGAAGCAACCCCTCATGTGGGTTCCCGAGCATAAACTTCCGGGAGTCCAACGGAGCACCCAGGAGTCCTGACAACCCTGAAAAGCAAGACGGAGCCAGAGGCGACCAGAGGCTACGGGGACCCCAGAGAGGGAGATCCCTGAGCTCAGCCTTCCCTGGAAAGGCGAGAAAAGCCAGACTAGGAAATCCGCGACTCGGCAGCTGAGACGAGGGGGGCCGAAAAAGCCGAAGAGCTGGGGGGTGGGGCGGAGCTCAGCAGGTGTGTGGGCGGGAGCACCCCTGGCTCTTGCCCCTCCTCCTCCGTTCCCCCCCCCACCCCCCGCTTAAGCGACGTCCGCCGAGCCCGCCTGAGAATCGCTGGCTGAACACCGCCCCCTGCCGGCCGCCAGCCGCGCCGTCTCCCTTCTCTCTGGAGCGGAGCTGCCACCAATCTGGGAGAGAGGTCGGCCCGGCCCGGACGGGGGACAAAGGGTGAGGGAGGTGTGGCGGGGGTTGCAAGCCACAGCTGCGTGGTTGGCAGAGTTTCTGGAAGGCGAATGAGGGCGGGTTGCCGCCTAGGGACGAATAGGGACCAGAATTCGTAGGTGGGTCATTTACGTGTGTTAATGCGGTCGTGTCGGGATGGATTTTTTTTTTTTTCCTGTCTGTGTCCATTTCATTTGCTGCGGGTCTGCGTCCGTGTGTGTGTGTGTGTGTGTGTGTGTGTGTGTGTGTGTTGTGTCTCTGGGGTGCTCGCCTGTTTCCGCGCTGCTGTCTGGGCGAACATAGGTGTGCTTGATTCTGGGTCCTTTCTTACAAAATTGTATTTGTGTCTTCTTGGGGTGGGGGAGGGGCAGAGAGAGAGAGAGAGAGAGAGGGAGAGAGAGCATCCCAAGCAGGGTCCTCGCTGTCATCGAAGAGCCCGAGGCGATCCAACTGACAGTCCTGAGCCAAAGCCAGGAGCTCAACCCACCGAGCCACCTGGGGGGGGGGGCTCCTTTTATTATAACCTCGTGGCTATCTCTTCATCGGCCAGTCCCGTTTTATTCAACGCACTGCGCGTGAATTGAACAGCCAACGTGTGCCAGACACTGTTGTGGGTTCTGAAATCCAGGAGGGGGCCGGCGGGGAGACAGACGTCTGAACACGTCGACCCCGTGACGGTGACGAGAGTGGCTCAGGACCAGAGTGGAGCAAAGGAGGAGGAGGAAGTCAGAGGCAGCGTTGGTGAGGGGGGGAAGCAGGTCACATGGGAGCCGGGCTTTGAATTTTTTTTTTTTCAACGTTTATTTATTTTTGGGACAGAGAGAGACAGAGCATGAACGGGGGAGGGGCAGAGAGAGGGAGACACAGAAGTGGAAACAGGCTCCAGGCTCTGAGCCATCAGCCCAGAGCCCGATGCGGGGCTCGAACTCACGGACTGCGAGATCGTGACCTGGCTGAAGTCAGACGCTTAACCGACTGCGCCACCCAGGCGCCCCGTGGGAGCCGGGCTTTGAAGACAGGTAGGGGGTGTGCCAGGTCAGGACAGGTGCTTGTGGAGAATTCCTTGGGGCGCTGCCGAGGCCCGCCCCCACCCCCCCACCCCCTTCACACATCTCCTCCTTCTGGGGACAGGGGCTCTCACTTCCCCCGCCGCAGGAGTGGCTCAGGAACTGCCTTGGGAGGAAGACATCTGCTTTGTCTGAGCCCCCTCCCTGGGGCAGTGTGCGTGCAAGGACTAGCGGGTGAGGGTTACAGAGCCCCTGTCCCGGGGCAGCCGCAAAAGGCTGGCTCCTCTTGAGACCTCCCAAGGGACAGCCAGAGTGTTGCCTTTCAGCTCTGTCCCTGCTCGCCGCAGCTTCTCTTACACCTAACAGGTGTCCCCCAGAGTGCCCCCGAGTCCTCTCCTGCAGTTTCAGCAGGCTAAGGCAAGGTCAGCCGAGCGACGACAAGCGTCGGCGCTGAAGCACAAGGGAGAAGAGAGGACAGACCGAACGAGACTCAGTAGGGCTGGGTGATGGATTCGACACAGCGGGCGAGAGGAGAGCCCCCAGGTCTCCGGCGCGGGCGCCTGGATGGGCGGAGGTGCTCCCTTCCAAGGTCGACCACAGAGGAGGAGGCTCGTGGGGAACGGTGCGGGCACCACGGTGGCCGTGGCGGTGACATTTCAAGGAGCGTGGCACAAAGGCAGGCGGGAACCTTCCTGCGGTGAGGCCTGGAAGGAGGTTGGCTCCTCGGGCGTTTGCCGATCAGCCAGACCTCTTTACGAGGACGTCTCCCGGGAACCTGCAAGTCCGTATACCCAACACTGGCCTCCCTGTCCTCTCCACCCTCAACCCCGCTTCTCCCTGGGTGTGCCTCGAAGGAGCAAATGGCGCCCCCTGCATTCGGTTGCCCTGGCGATCGCGCTTCTTTCCCTCCACTGCCACGGCCAATCCGTCGTCAGCACCCATCCCTCTAACCTTCTACATGTGACTGGGAGCTGTTTCTGTATCCCCACCAGTCTCCCCCCTGGCTTTCCCGCACTGGTCTCCTTGCCTCTTGGCTTCCTCCCCCTAAATCTGCCTTCCCGACTGCCATCGGAGTGACCCACCCCGAATGCCAGTCTAATCAAACCGGTCTACACTCAGATTCTTTTAATGGCGCCCCATTACCTCTCAAATAAAATCCAAACTCTCCAACATGGCCTGGAAAGCCCTTCGGGGGTGCAGCTCCTCCTGGTCTGTCTGGCCCCACCCGCCACTTGACCTTCTCGCTCTGTGCTCTAACGTTCTAAGGAGCCGCGAGCTCTCCGGCACGCTCCATAGGGCTCCCCACTTCGAGAAGTGCTTCCGCTCCCGTGGTTCCTCGTCCCACGTCACCCGGGGAAGTCCGGATTCGTCCTTGGAGACAGTGCAGGTGTCTTCTCCTCCGGGACACCTCCCCACTTGGTGTGCCCTCCTACAGCCCCGAGCTCAGCACCCCCTGTGCTCCTTAGCCTTCTATACATCTCTCGACTCTTGCCCTCCCCACGCTGAACTGTACTGAAGTCACCTACCTCCTCTCCGGTGCGTTTCAGGGTGACCTGGGGTTGAATTACGTGAAATCTCTGAGCATCTGTTTCCTCATCAGAGATAACATCAAGGCTAGCGCATAACAATGCTCCATAAATGGTGGTTATATTAGGATAATTATTGCTTTTATTACCTTCCTCCTTCCCAGCACCCACCTGTTACCATTGTTTTAATTGTTTATCTTTTTTTAAAGCTTGTATTTTTAAGTAATCTCTACCCCCGCCTCGTGGGGCTGGAACTCACAACCCTGAGATCAAGAGTCACCTGCCCTACTGGCTGAGCCGGACAGGCGCCTCACCCCCGGTGACCGGTTTACCTTGAGAATATGTATTTGTTCACCTGTTCCAGTCCATTTGACATCTCAGATGGGGTTCTCGTAAGTTACTTCCCTCCAGAAGCCGTGTCTTATCTTTCCACCTCACTGGAAGCCATAGGATTTCTCATTTTATTGATTGATTGGTTGATTTATTGATTGATTGATTGATTTAAGGATTTCTTATTAAAAAATTTTTTTAATCTTTATTTTTGAGAGAGAGAGAGAGAGAGAGAGAGAGACAGAATGTGAGCAGGGGAGGGGCAGAGAGAGAGGGAGACACAGAATCTGAAGCAGGCTCCAGGCTCTGAGCTGTCAGCACACAGCCCGATGCGGGGCTCGAACTCACAGTCCGCGAGATCATGACCCGAGCTGAAGTCGGACGCTCAACTGACTGAGCCACCCAGGTGCCCCGAGGATTTCTCATTTTAAAAAAGTGTTTCAAAAATTAACAAAGTAATATAGGCCTATTGTAACAAATTCAAAGAATACTAAATTACACCGAGTTAAAAGTAAATGGGGGCACTGGGTGGCTCAGTGAGTCAAGCATCCAACTCTTAATCTCGGCTCAGGTCATGAGATCGAGCCCCACAGGATTCTCCCTCCTCTCCCTCTCTCTCTGCCCCTCCCACGTGTGTGTGTGTGTGTGTGTGTGTGTGTGTGTGTTTTCTCTCTCCCTCTCAAAATAAAATGGGGGCTCCTGAGTGGCTCCATCAGTTGAGCATCCAACTCTCGATTTTGGCTCAGGTCATGATCTCACTCACAGTTGGTGGGATCGAGCCCTGTGTTGGGCTCTGTGCTGATAGTGTGGAGCCTGCTTGGGATTCTCTCTCTCCCCCTCTCCCCCTTGCCCACTCACGTGCATATGGGAGCTGTCTCTCTCTCTCTTTCTCTCTCAAAATAAATAAATAAACATTAAAAAAAGAGAATGTACCTTTAAATTTTTGATAAATGCTTCCAAACTGCCCTCCAAAACGTCTTTATCAACATATACACTACTTCCAACCGCATATGAGAGTCTGCATTTCTTCACGCCCTTCATGGCAATGTATATTATCATTCTTTTCCATTTCTTTCCAAGTTCATGGGCAAAAGGGAATATTGAATTTTTCTTTTTCTTTTTTTTCTTTTTTTAACATTTATTTATTATTGAGAGACAGAGAGAGATAGAGCACGAGCATGGGAGGCGAAGAGAGAGGAGGAGACACAGAATCCGAAGCGGGCTCCAGGCTCCGAGCTGTCAGCACAGAGCCTGACGCGGGGCTCGAACCCACGAACTGCGAGATCATTACCTGAGCCGAAGTCGGGTGCTCAACCGACTGAGCCACCCAGGTGCCCCTTGAGTTTTTCTTTAATTAAGATTTTCCTTACTTGAGGTTGAGGATCATGATGTCATATGCTTCTTAGATGTTTGTATTTCTTCTGGGAATTGTCTATCCTTGGCCTATTGAAAAAAACTTGACTCATTGTTTAAATGTTATGCTATATTTTTTTCTTAAAAACATACAGTGTCTTTTAAGTAAAACGATGCTCTTGCCCTTCTTTTGTTTAACCAGAATAATCAGCGAAATCCCTCAGTTTGTGGCACATGAAATCATTAGGCCACCCCTCCCTTCTTACTGGTTCTTCTTTTGCCATTCCTGTCCCCTTCTCCTTGCCACCCCTTCCGTGGGCATGTACCGACTTATTTAGTCAGTGCAGTGGGCCCTCCCTTTCATTCATTTATTGACACATATATGTATACCTGATCAATACATCATATTATTTTGTGGGGCACCTCGGTGGCTCAGTGGGTGGAGCATCTGACTCTTGATTTCGGCTGAAGTCATGATCCCAGGGTTATGAGATCGAGCCCCAAGTTGGGTTCCACATGGAGCTTGGAGCCTGCTTAGATTCTCTCTCTCCCTCTCCCTCTGCCCCTCCTTGGCTCTTGTGCTCTCTCTTTAAAAAAGTATATTATAGGGGCGCCTGGGTGGCTCAGTCAGTTAAGTGTCTGACTTCAGCTCAGGTCACGATCTTGCGGTTTGCGAGATCGAGCCCCTCGTCCAGCTCTGTGCTGACAGCTCGGAGCCTGGAGCCTGCTTCAGATTCTGTGTCTCCCTCTCTCTCTACCTCTCCCCTGGCTCACACTCTGTCTCTCTCTCTCCCTCTCAAAAATAAATAAACATTTAAAAAGTTAAAAAAATATATATATATTATCTTGTGTGTTTTATATTTCAGGACAATAGCGTAGTATAACATCTCATTCTGTTTGTTTTACTTTTCTTTTTTCTTCTTACTAAACACTGTGGGTTTTTTTTTTAATCTTCATTTATTTTTTGAGAGAGAGAGAGAGAGAGAGACCGTGAGTGGGGCAGAGGCACAGAGAGAGGCGGACAGAGAATCCAAAGTGGGCTTTGTGCCGACAAGACAGAGCCTGATTTGGGGCTCAAACCCACGAGAACACAGCATAACTACAGATTTGTTGTATCACCACGTTGGACACCCGAAACTAACCTAACATTGTGTGTCAACTGTACCTCAATAGCAACAAACAAATAAGTTCGAAACATCAAAAACTTCTATTCTGGTTTTCTGTCCTAGCTCCTTGGCACTTGCTGTGGCGGCCGTAAGCTCCCTTGCACCCCTCTTGGTCACGCCTTGCAAAATTGAAGAAGTCAAGGACTTTCTGCTCCTGGCCAGGTGAAAGGATGCCAGATCTGTTGAGATCACGAAAAATAAGGAAAAGGTGAAGGTTAAAGTTCAATGCAGTGGGTACCTTTATACCTTGGTCATCGCAGACAAAGAGAAGGCGGGGAAGCAGAACAGACCCTGCCCTCGGGTTTGAAATGAACCTGGCGCGCTGATTGGCATTGTAGTAAAATTTTAAAATTCTCTCTCTCTCTCTCTTTTTTTAAAGTAGGCTTCTCGCCCAGCGCAAAGCCCAATGCAGGGCTTGAACTCACAACCCTGAGATCAAGACGCGAGCCGATATCAAGAGTCAGACACTTCACCAACTGAGCCACCCGGACACCCCCAAATTTTAATAATTCTTTGAGAAACACACACACAGAACCTTCCATTCTGCTTTTATGTATGAGATGGAATTTAAAAACGATATAGAGTGGACTAGTTCCTTCTTTGTATCCACATATGCCCTGTGCACCTTCTCCCGTGTATTTAGCCTCCAAGATTGTTTCCCAGTTTTTTGCTGCCATGAGTATTCTTGAACTTGTCATTTCATGTATCCTTTATAGGGTTATTTTTGCAACCTATTCCTGGGGACGGAACTGGATTATAGACTTTACACATCCATATTCGGTTTCCTTAGACACGTCCAGGCTGTGCTGCAGGACCTATCAGATTAGACTCACAGCAGCCCCTGTGGATCATCCTGTTTCCGGCCACCTCACGAGCACTCGATACCAACTTCTAGATTTTGCTGCTGCTGAAGCTGCGGTGATAGGTATTCGTTTCCTGTTTGGTTTGATTGTCGGAGATTTTCCAATTGATTGTATGATCTCTAGGACTATAGGATTGTAGGATTGGTAGGATCATGGATACTTAAGGCTTTTGGCGTGCAGACATTTCTATTTGATCACATTTACAACCTTGTCTTCTATGATTTCTGTATTTGGGGCCTTGGACATCCCCGCTTCAAAAGCAGAAAAGAAAGAAAGAAAGGAAAAACTCGATTGCGGCTGTCGACCAAGAGGAGAGGCGAGAAAGCAACCAAATGCATTTATTTGGGGCCTTCGGGACTGTAATCCCCAAGGGACAAGGCATGGAGTTGACCAAAATTGGAAGTGTCCTCCCCAATTTTGAGAGGGGAGTGCAGGCTTGTAAAGGTTCAAAAGCCACAAGGTTACACAACTTGTTTTAAAAGAATTGTGATTGGTGCTACGGAGTTTGAATTCCCCGACGCGATGGGCGGCTCAGCTAACAGGCGTTACATTCTCTCTATCTCCGTCCAGATTAGAAGGGTGTGTTCCAGGAGGCGGTCCAGGTAGAACGGACAGGTTGCAAATGACAAAAATCAAGAGTTTGTGGTGTTCCAAGATTTGAAACGGGAGAAGCCAGAGGCCCTGCTTCCTCAGTATCTTCCCCACCCTATTGTAAATGACTCAACAATGTTCACTTCACTTAGGCATCTTCTTCCACACTTTTCTTCTTTTCTTTAAGTTTATTTATTTATTTATTTATTTATTTATTTATTTATTTATTTTGAGAGAGACAGCGGGGGAAGAGCAGAGAGAGAAGGAGAAAGAGAATCCAAAGCAGGCTCCAAACTATCAGCGCAAAGCCCAACACGGGGCTCGATCTCACGAACCGTGAGAACACGACCTGAGCCAAAATCCAGAGTCGGATGCTTAACCGACTGAGCCACCCAGGCGCCCCTTTCTTTTAATACTTATATTATTATTCCTTTAGCTGTGTTGTTGTTTACCTTTAGCTGCATTTCATTAGATACAAGAAATGAGGTAGAACTCCAAGCTTACATTTTCCAAACAGCTACCTGGTTATCTTAATACCATTTATTGAATAATCTGTCTTTTCATTGTTCAAAGAACAATTTTATTTTTTCATTTGCAATATAGTTATATATTATTTCCTTTCCTTTTTTTTTTTTTTTTTGAGTTTCGAGAGTTCTTTATATAATCTAATACAAGGCCGTTATCAAATATGCAACATGCAAATATTTCCCCCTAGTCTGTGACTTGTCTTTTCACTTCTTTTAAGTGTCTTTTCAGGAGCGCCTGGGTAACTCAGTTGGTTAAGCACCTGACTCTTTTTTTTTTTTTTCCTTTTTTTTGAGAGAGAGAGAGGGGGCACAAGTGAGTGAGGGGCAGAGAGAGAGAGAGAGAGAGAGAGAGAGAGAGGGAAGCGGGTCTCATCCAAAGGGGGGCTTGAGCTCACTCCATGTGGGACTCAAACTCACAAACTGAGCTGTGAGGTCATGACCTGATCCGAAGTCAGATGCTTAATCACTCAGCCATCCGGGCACCCCTGACTCTTGATCTCAGCTCAGGTCTTGATCTCGGGGTCATGAGTTCAAGCTCCATGTTAGGCTGAGCGCGGAGCCTCCTTAAAAAAACAAACAAGGGGGGGCGCCTGGGTGGCGCAGTCGGTTAAGCGTCCGACTTCAGCCAGGTCACGATCTCGCGGTCCGTGAGTTCGAGCCCCGCGTCGGGCTCTGGGCTGATGGCTCGGAGCCTGGAGCCTGTTTCCGATTCAGTGTCTCCCTCTCTCTCTGCCCCTCCCCCGTTCATGCTCTGTCTCTCTCTGTCCCAAAAATAAATAAATGTTGAAAAAAAAATTAAAAAAACAAAACAAAACAAAACAAACAAGGGGTGCCTGGGTGGCTCAGTTAGTTAAGCAACCAACTCTTGGTTTCCGCTCAGGTCGTGATCTTGGTGTTCGTGGGATCGAACTCCGTGTCCGGCCCCACACTGACAGCATGGAGCCTGCTTGGGAGTCTCTCTCCCACTCCCTCTCTGCCCCACTCCCATGCTCGCTCACTCTGTCTCTCTTAAAAATAAATAAACTTGAAAAATTTTAAAAACAAAAAAAGTGTCTTTTGAAAGCAGTTCTCAATTTTTGTAAAGTCCAACTTATCATTTTATGTTTTGTGACACTTAATAAAGGGAAACTTTATTAGTGGAATCCAGAGGCCAGAGGGGAAGCCATACCACTCAATGTCAAATACTGGAAGAATTGTCAGTTACAGATCCCTGCAGAATCTGGGATTCTGGATCATCACTCTGAATCATCAACAGGAAAGAATGATCAACCACAGGCCCCAAAGGAAAAGATGGACATTGGCTCTTCTATAAGAAATCGGCCACCCCTGCAACTCAGCCAATATGTAACCCTCCCCACCCTCAACTCTTGCTTTTCTTCCGTGGACTTTGGTTCAAAACACACACCCCCATCTCCTTCTTTTGCATAAAATAACAGTCCTCTTCTTTGTTGGGCTTGCCTATGAATTTTGTCATAGTTTGTATGTCCTGAATTTCAATTCTCCATTGTTGATTAAACCTACTTTTTGCTGGCAATATAGCTGACTTTATTTTTTTATTAAAAAAAATTTTTTTTAATGTTTATTTTTGAGAGAGAGAGAGAGAGAGAGAGAGAGTGAGCAGGGGAAGGGGAGAGAAAGAGGGAGACACAGAATCAGAAGCAGCCTCCAGGCTCTGAGCTGTCAGCACAGAGCCGGATGCGGGACTCAAACCTACGAGCAGCAGCAGCGAGCAGCGAGGTCATGACCTGAGCCCCAATGGGAGGGACGCTCAACTGACTGAGCCACCCAGGCACCTCCATAATGGACTTTGTTTTTAAGGTTTACCATCTTCTATGGATACTGGTTTTTAGGATCCTAAGACTGTTGCCTAGCTGAAAGTTGCCAAGATTTGCTCTCCTATGTTTTCTTCCAGACATTATGTTTTACATTTAATTTAATGATCAACTTTGAGTTAATTTTTGTGTATGATGCCAGGTATGGATTGATGTTCCCTCTCTCTCTCTCTCTCTCTGTCTCTTGGCATGTAGACATCCAACTGTTCTATATTGAAAAGACTGTCCCTTCTTTAGTGCATTGTCTTTGCCCATTTGTCAAAAATCCATTGACCATATGTATGTGGATCTATTTATGAACTCTCTATTCTGTTCCATTGATCTATCTGTCTTTTGTAAATGCTTATACTATACTATCTTAATTATCGTAGCTTTATAATAAATCTTGAATTTCTGTAAGTGTTTCAGCTGTATTCTTGTTTTTCAGAGTTGTTTTGGCTGTTCTAGACCCTTTGCAATTCCATACAACACTTAGAATCAGATTGTCAGTTTCCATAAACATTGTTGTGATGTTGTTTGGGAATACGTTAGATCTTTAGGTCAATTCGGGGGGATTGAAATCTTAGTAATAGGGGTGCCTGGGTGTATCTGACTTTAGCTCAGGTCATGATCTCATGGTTCATGAGTTCGAGCCCCATGTCAGGCTTTGTGCTGACAGCTCAGAGCCTGGAACCTGCTTTGGATTCTGTGTCTCCCTCTCTCTCCCCCTCCCCCACTCATGCTCTCCCTCTCTCTCTCTCTCAAAATTAAATAAACATTAAGACATAAAAAAATGTAAGTCATAAGAAATCTTAATAATATTGAGTCTTCTAATCCATGGGCAATATATATCTTCCCATTTATTTAGGTCTTTTTAAATTTATTTGAGCAATGTTTTATGTTTTCAATGCACGGCTTTTGTCAGATTTATTCCCAAGTATTTTATGGGTTTTTTTTGATGCTAATATCAATGATATTCTTAAACTTATTTTTTTGAGTGTTGATTGCTAGTATCATGGGTTAAATTTATGCCCTCTCAAAGATATGTGGAAGTCCTTACTAATCCAGGAAACCTGTGAGTGTAATCTCATTTGGAAGTAGGATCTGTGCTGCTGTAATTAGAGTTAAGATGAGGTCATACTGGAGTAGGATGGGCCCTTAATCCAATGTGATAGATGTCCTTATAAGAAAGAAATTTGGACACAGATATGCAGAGAGGGAAAAAGATATAAAACCCCACAGGGAAAAGATGGACCTGTGACAATGGAGGTGGAAATTGGAGTGACGCATTTACAAGCCAAGGAACACATGGATTGCCGGAAGACACCGGAAGCTAACGCAGGCAAGGAGGGATCCTCCCCTAGATCCTTCCGTGAGAGCGTGGCACCGCCGATACCTTGCTTCCAGACTTCCAGCATCCAGAACTCTGAGACAATACCTTTCTGCTCTTTGAAGCCATCCTTGTTGTGATACTTAATTATGGCAGCCATAGGAAACTAAGACAACGAGTAGGTAGAGACACAATTGATTTCTGCATGTTGATCTTATATCCTGAAAACGTGTTAAAACTAAGTTGTTAGTTCTGGTAACTTTTTTGTAGATTCCACTGAATTTTCTGCATAGTTGATTATGTCATCTCTGAACGAAAACAATTTTACTTCTTCCTTTCCAATCTGGATGCCATTATTTACTTTTCTTGCCTTATTGCACTGGCTAAAACCTCCAGTATAATGCTGAAGAAAAGTGAGAGCAGGGGTGCCTGGATGGCTCAGTTGGTTGACCATCTGACTTTGGCTCAGGTCATGATCTCACGGTTTGTGAGTTTGAGCCCTGCGTTGGGCTTGGTCCTCTCAGCACCAAGTGCTGTCAAAGCCTGCTTCAGATCCCCTGTCCCCCTCTCTCTGCCACTCACCCCCCCTCAAAAATAAATAAAACATTAAAAAAAAGTGGTGAGAGCAAATATCCCTGCCTTGTTCCTGCTCTTAGGAGGAAAGCATTCAGTCTTCTACTATGATGTTTTTATAAGATGTTATCCCTTAGTTGTGTGTATATGTGCGTGTGTGTGTGTGTGTGTGTGTGTGTGTGTGTGTATGTAGGTGACTTTTATCTGACTGAAGAAGTTTCCTTCTATTCCAAATTTGTTGAGAGGTCTTTCTTCAAATCAGAAATTTATATTGGCTTTTTGTCAAATGTTTTCTTGATAGTTGTTGAGATGATTATGTTTCCTGGAGTGTTTGTGTGGTTCAGCTGATTGAGTGTGTAAGTCTTGATTTCAGCTCAGGTCACGATCCCAGGGTTGTGGGATGGAGTCCTGCATTGGGCTCCACATTGAACGTGGAGCCTGCTTAAGATTCTCTCTCTCTCTCTCTCTCTCTCTCTCTCTTTCTCTCTTTCTCTCTTTCTTCCTCTGCCCCTCTCTGCTACTCATGAACTCTCTCTCTCTTTCTTTAAAATAAGTAAAATAAAATAAAATAAAATAAAATGTCTAAAAAATGGTTTCTAATGTTTCAGATGTTAACCCCACCTTGCATTTTTGGTCATGATGTATTATCCTCTTTGTATAATGTTGGATTTGATTTACTAAAATGCTGTCAAGGATTTTTGCATCTATGTTCCTATGGGTCTGTAGTTTTCTCGTAATATCTTTGTCTCATTCTGGTGTTAGAGTAACCGCGGTTTTGTACAAATGAATTGGGTAGTATTCCCTCTGCTTCAATTCTCTGAAAGAGTTTGAGTGAAATTGATATTATTTCTTTATTAATGTTTGGTAGAATTAACCAGTAAAGCTACTTAGGTCTGGTGTTTCCTTTGTGGG